CTTGTCTTCTCTGATGGATTGGTTGTTCTTGCTCTTAATCCAGAGCAGAGCCTTCTGCTATTCTCCATTCTTGCCCCATCATGCTGCTCCTCTGGCTACAAAAGGAGCTCTGGACACCAGTCCACCTACCACTGCTGTTGATTGAACTTTGTAATTACAATGGGGATTCTTTTGGCATCTCAACTTAGGCTTACTGCTACAATTCTCATTATTATATAAGAACTCACCAGTCAGAACTTGTTCATCAGTTCTTCCCCTCTCTATATGATTTTTTTCCTTTATAAAAATAAAACAGGTTATTATCCTTCCCTACCCTGTTCCAGGAGAATACAAGCTGTGGTCCATTGTGTAGAAAGATGTTGTTGTTGATAAAAGTATTTCCTGTTCTTGCCTTCTTGTGAACAACTTATTTGACCTTGTTGTTTGCCTTGTTGATAGCATATGTCACACTCCCATACCCTGTCTCATGGATGGGAAGCAGATGAACCAAAGTAACACTGTCCAGGAAAATGGGATGTCAAAGGACCACGCTACTTCTTGCTGACACAATCTCAAGGCAAGGACCAGCTCTACAACATTGGTTCTATCTACAGCAGCTCAGTCCTGGAGCCTTGTTCCCTTTGTCCTAAGAAAAAGAATTCCTAAGGCATGAATAGAAATACCATGTAAGGTGTTCACGTGTGGCCATGCCAGGTAGAATTTGAGTCATCTTTACCTCTCATACTTCTTTTTGTGCCAGATCTATGGAGCATGCGGTCTTTCTGTTTCTTTGAGTCCCATCATGTTGTGAACAGACCGCAATAGCCCTTCAGAATCTTTGATAGCATTTATAACATCCTGGCTGGAAATCTGTGCAGAATATGTTATCTAACAGGCCCTCTCTCAGGACCATGTGAATGATTAAACAGATTCATGTTTGAGGCATGTTCTCACGATGTGCTGCCTTTATTAAAAGTAATTAAAACTTGGCAAATATTCCTTTCAGATGATTAATAGACCCATCTTCACTTCTTTTGGGAGGTCAGTTAACAGTTATCAAAGATTAAACACCTGTTTTTACATCCACATGGTTGCCGGAAACTCAGTAGCATAGTGCTTGCCTGAAGTTGTGCCATACTGAAGGGGTGTGGGGGAATAGGCCTTGTACTTACCTAAGTCTTGAGGAAAGATCGTAGATGCTAAGGAATGGTCACTTTGGTGGTATAAAGCAAAGCTTCAAAGAACTTGAATACTCCCAATTTGAATACTAATTAATGTAATTAATGTTTTCCACACTTAAGACTCAGGGAGTAAAGATTCTCTGTGACTTGAATGAACCAAGTTAGCAGTATGTATGAAATTCACTAGTAGAGGGCTTAAAGCAGATCACTGATTATACCAGGAGGTAGGAATGAGGTTGTAAAATGAAAACCTTGTTTAATAATTTATTATTAGTATTTTACAGGTAAGTATCCTTAAAGACATTGTATTAGCAGAACATCAGATTCCTTGGTTGTATTACCTCGAATGCCTCCAAATAAGGGCCTAAGTACAAAGTCTTCTAGCAATGTTTCTGCAAAGGACCCTTATTACCTTAGAGACAAAAACTCCCCAAGAGGTACAGCATGGGTGAGTGACCTAGAATTCAGTACAGGACATACAGGATGTGGCTGCCTCCCTGGAACATTCAGGAACATTCATTGTCTTTAATTTATAGAGGGCACAGCCTTCTGAAGTTTCAAGTGACTTGCCCATGCCAGAGTTGGTCAACTGGATGCCAGAAAACCCCCGTGGCAGGAAGGGTGGACGCAGGGTGTGGGTGTCCCCCACACCACCCCCTGCCTGTTAGGTCAGGAGCCCCACACCCTCCCCAGAGGTCCTGCCTCACAGCTGTGACAGAGCACTAGAAAGGGAATTCCTCTCCCCAGACTCCCAGACACAAATGCAAAGTTCACAGGTCTCCGATTCTTTCCCACAGAGGAACATGTGTTTTTGTGGAAAGACCACACAGACGAGTCAGGATCTCTCTGTTGTTTCCAGAATCTGGCCTGCATTGGCTGTGCAGCCTGAGTCAAATTAGAGAACCATGGCCACATTCGGCTGGAAGGAATTTAGGGATCATCTCTACTGGTACATCAGAACCACCAGGGCTGCTCATTAAAGCACAGATTCCTGGGCCTCATTCCCAGAGACTCTGATTTAGTAGGTCTGAGGCAGCATTGGATTTCGGCTGTACTAGCAGTCTTCCAAGGCGTGCTGATTCATGGACCACACTTGAGTAACTCTGGCTTTATTCTACCTTGCCTGTAGATGGATTGGCAGGCTTCTTCCTAAGGGCCAAAGAGTAAATCTTTCAGGATCTTCAGAATGGTCAATCTCCATGGCAAATGATACAATTCTGTCATTACAACATGAAAGCAGCCATGGACGTGTATAGAAATGGACCTGGTTGTCTCATGACAAATCCGTACAAAAATAGGAAGCAGCCATGGGCTATAGCGGCTGACCCTACAAGGACTAACTCACCACATGCTTAATAGCAATCCAGATTTTGTCTCTTCTCTTTCCTTCCTTGCTTAGCTTCAAATTACTTAGGGAAGATTTTCTCATATTTTTGGCATTATTTTTTCATATTTGTTCTCCATGACTATTATGAAATCCTATCAATAAGTAAGCACTCAAAAATATTCATATGGTAAGTTATCTGCAATGACACTGTTACTGGGGATTTTTTAATTTGAACTTATTTGTTTCCTCTAATGTATAGCATTACATGAGAAAACTAAGTATATTAAGAAATGAGATGAGGGCTGGGAAGGTAGCTCAGTGGTAGAGCGCTTGCCTTGCATGCATGAGGCCCTGGGTTCGATTCCTCAGCACCACACAAGCAAAAAGAAAAAAGCCAGAAGTGGCGTTGTGGCGTTGTAGAGCACTAGCCTGGAGCTGAAGAGCTGAGGGACAGCGCCCAGGCCCAGAGTTGAGGCCCCACAAGTGGACCCAAAAAAGAAAGAAATGAGGGGCTGGGAAGGTGGTTCAGTGGTAGAGCGCTTGCCTTGCATGCCTGAGGCCCTGGGTTCGATTCCTCAGCACCACATAAGCAAAAAGAAAAAAGCCGGAAGTGGCGCTGTGGCTCAAGTGGTAGCACACTAGCCTTGAGCTGAAGAGCTGAGGGATAGCGCCCAGGCCCAGAGTTCAGGCCCCACGACCGGAACCAAAAAAGAAAAAGAAATAAAGAAATAAAAGAAATGAGGTGAGATCATTGGGATGGATTATTTAGGAACATCTTTAGGTATCCAGCATGGCTTTGATGAAAAAGAAAAAAAAAAAAACACGAGACTATTAGAAAACTGAGTCACTGGCTCACACACGTATCCTAGCTACCCAGGAGGCTGGGCTCTGAGGATCGCAGTTCAAAGCCAGCCTGGGCAAGAAAGTCCATGAGACTCATCTCCAATTAACCACCAAAAAGCCAGAAATGATGCTGTGGCTTAAAGTGGTAGAGCACTAGCTATGAGCACTAGAGCTCAGCAATAGTGCCCAGGCCCTGAGTTCAAGCCCCAGAACAAGTACAAGAAAATGGAAAGTTTGTTTTAGTATGGTCTCTAAGACTTAACTATGTTTGTATTTTAAGGAGAAAAAAAATTCTATCAACAAAGACATAACCAACAAGTTATATTATTTTTTATTCATGTTAGAATTTCTATCAGTGTTTGAACATTAATATTTAGAGAGTTTGTACATTGTCACCTTCCAAGGTTAAAAGGAGAACCACACTAGGTCACAAATGGTAACTAATAAACATTTCACAATCACATGAATAGCCGCTCGCTCTCTCTTAACACTGGTCAGAATTTTCATTTCCTTGCTGTAATTTACAATGGAAAGTGTCCCTACTCATGTCCCAGCAAGATTGCAGACATTATGGAATCATCACATATAAATTCTTTAAAAATATACTTCTGTCAAAAGACTTGACGACTACTATGTACACTACAAAAATAAATTTTCATATAAATAAATTATATGGCATATTTTTATCTTTGTAAATGAAATGACACAAACTCATTTCCACCTGAATTGGCAGAGAATGAGACCCAGTTTGAATATTTCCTTTAAACTCCTTACACTAAAACCTATCATGAGTCCTTAATGTAAATGTTATATACTCTGAACTATTTAACATTAGTAAGCACTCTATACAAATAAAAATTCTGTTCAAAAGTAAAACATAGCTGGAATAGTGTTTCCAATAGAAATAAATCCCTGCATTTTTTGTTATAAACTGGCATGACAAATACTGTAGGAAAACATTCTTATGATACAAAATTAAAATTATAAATATCAGCAAAAACTTTTTTTAAAAATTAAAACATCCAAATGAACAAACAAGACATACAAAATAAAACTTTTAGGGAAGGGTGGGGGGGAGAGAGAGAGAGAGAGAGAGAGAGAGAAAATTTCCTACTAGCTCATGTTTTCCTTGTCCATTGAGACCTATGACGAAAGTTCTATGCTCAACAGAAATGAATAGGCTGCACAGGCCCTCACGTGCCATACAAGCTAGGCTCAGGAAAGAAGTTAGGGGCAGTGAGGGGAACAGCCAGAGCTGCAGGAAAGCCATCTTTAGAATTTTCAATCTCTCTCCTCACCTCAGGAAACAAATTCTCTGAGCAGAGCTGGTGTTAGGTAGGCAGACAGTATGGCTGACAGGCACCAAGACATGAGCAGTGTGGGGTAGAGCTAGGGCCCCTGGCCTATTAATACACACACCTGGCAGCCACAGGTGGCTTCCAATTAGTACCTTACAGTTTTGTGGTGAGTTTTAGGGTCTGAGGTCACTATCCTGCTGGTACTACTGGGGGCCCTTTGCATTAAGGTTTTCCACAGAGGGCACAAGGGAGGAGCAGGAGCAGCCTACGGAGCCCCCCCTCGCAGTAGCTTAGGCTGCTGACACTGACACACACACACACACACACACACACACACACACACGAGCACTGGGTCCTTTCCAGACAGGTTACACACACACACACACACACACACACACACGAGCACTGGGTCCTTTCCAGACAGGTTGGTGGTGCTGATTGGGAGAGGGAGCTGGACAATGCTTCCCTAACATGTGCTAGTCTAAGGTTAGAGGTGAAGGAGTTTCAAACTTCAGAGCAAGAGATGACTCCATATACATTCTGGAGTATAAGTAATTAGCATCCTAACTCTCTTAAAAAAAAAAAGTTGCACTGAAAGATAATGGAGAGGGGAGGAGAGCCACATTTTTAGTCATTTAAAAATGTGCACCTAACATAAATGCACTGCAAATAATCTCAGAACTTGAGTCTGTATCACCTGCCATGTTAGAAGCAAGCTGACCTAGGAATCCTCAACTAGCTGTTCAGTTGAGAGGAAATTTAAATTGTAGGACCTCAAAACGTCCTCTCTTGGCTTACTGAGCCCTGAATGAATGGATTTTTCTACCTCTATTAGGGTCATGGGGTGGGATGCTGTGTGTGTAAGTGCACATGCGCACATAAGTCACATGCAAGGCAGAATACTACACACTTTTCTGGAGTACACTGATTTCCATAGCTTAGCTAGGTCTCCCCACTAGGCATAGTTCCTAATTCTTTTCCTCCAATGAAGACAGTTGGCTCTGCACCCTGAGGTTCCAACATCCAACATAATAATCTATGTGAAGAAACCTATTTTCTCTGAAGCACAATGTGGGTGTTGGGAGGGCAACAAGTGAGGGTGCACCTGGCTTCTCCTGGACCATTTCCAGAGAATAAGGTGGATATTTAGAGATACCCCTCCACCAGCACAGAGCCATAAAGATACTCCAACTCTTCTGGCCTGATGGGATGAGAAGCCACTACAGATTACAGAGAACAAAGAGAAATAAACAAGATAAAACAAAAATCACAATACAGTACATTGGAAAATCCATACATGGTCACATACACACACACACATAACCAAACAACTACCCCTAGAGAAGCCACCAGGATTAACGTGCTTTCTTCATATCTGCTCATTAAACAACAACAATTATCACGCATAGCGTGTTTGAAAGTTAACAGTAACATTTCATACTACCACAGGGTTGTGATATGCAAATTTAAAATATTTTAAAACAAAGAAATCTTTACAAAATAATCCTATTACATAAGCAATATTTGCATAGAATTATACAGGTAAATTATACAATATTTAAGCAGCAGCAACATATGCTGAACATTTAAGACTAAGTTAAGCTTGGTTGTGGCACAGAGATCAATGTACAAATAGGGAGGGGTGCGGTCCCCCACCCAACCCCCAGTGACCTCCCCACTCTGGGGCAGGAGTGGAGAAACCCCAGGTCATTCTATTTTACATTGTTCCCTCGTATATTACATATGTGTACACCTCTTAAATATTTATAGAAATATTTAACAAAATAATACAATTGGTTACAGTAACAATGAACTGCTCTCCAGGGCAGCACACCTTCTCCCTAACTCCAAGCAGCTCTCTTCAAGCAGTTCTGGAAAGAGGTGGGGCAGAGGTGGGGGGGGGGGGGTTCCAATCTTTGGCCTCTTTGCTTCAGATTTTAATCACCCTTTAAAAGAAAACAATGCAGGATGTCATTTTATGGTCACTTAGAGAAAGAATTACGCATTATCATATACAGACAGCCCCCAACTTTGGAACGTTTGACTTAATTTTTTTTTTCTTTAGCATTATGAAGGGATGGCAGGGTGTTAAGTGCAGTACAGGAATTTCCCCCATCATGATGCAATCACACAGTCAGGTGAAAAGTGTTGTGTAGCGGTTATGGCACTGCAGTAACAATGGCAAATAGGTAGGTAAAAGGTGAAGTGGCTATGGTCTTTGTTAAGTTGTACTAATTCTTAAGAGGTTACTTATCAAGGAGGAAGAACCCAGTTTGAAACAGGACTGGAACTCCAAGTGGTGAAAACAGAGCCCAGGTCATTAAAGGTCCCCTGGGAGATGCAGCCTGAGACTGCCAAGGAACTTCTTTATCTGCCCCCATCTCGGTCCCCCGACCCCCGGGCAGCACACACCTCAGTTGGAGCTGCCTCCCCAGCGCCCGTCCTCACACTCCACATCCTGCAGCTCTATGACTTCCACCTTCGAGTCCCTCCTCTCGCATCGGACGTGAAAAGGCACGTGGGGGTCCTCGAACAGCCCAGGGTCAGTATCAGGGTAGTCTTCATAGCCCGGGCAGAGCCCCCCTCGGGGGTTCCGTCCTGGTCCAGAAATGGGTGGGGGGTGCACAGCAACAGTGACAGAAGCGGAAGCTGTCACAGTGGTGATGGGCTGGCAGTAGCTGGGCACAGAGCTGCCCATGGCAGTGGACGCTGGGTTCCGAGGGTTGTGGGAACGGGCTCCCCGGGGGCCCGAGCGGTCCCTGTTGCTAGGGCCAGAATGCCCTTCAGTAGAAATTTCAAAAGCGTCTCTGCGTGGTCTGTAGGGGGGTGGCCGCAAGCCTTCTCTGGAGGTGTCCCTGCGGGGCTGCTGGCCTTGTCGCCCAGGGGGTAGGGACCCTGAGTCCAGGTGGGGTTGCTGTCGAGGGTTTGAGGAGGGTGGGTGATGCCTTGGTTCAGGATGGACCACCTGTACAGGACGAGGGCAGGTTAATATAGGCAGATACACCACGAACCACAGGCTCAGTACATGGCCTCTTCCCCAGTCTTACCCCTCACTTCTTGGCTCTGACCAGGTACCCCCGTCAACCCCAGTGAACCAATGGGGACCTTCCACCCACAGAAGACGAACTCAATCTTTCAGTAACCTCCAGGACGTGGCAAAAGAGGTCTTTATTTGGAACTTCTTTTTAGCCTTGCTCCAGCACAGCTGGCTGGATCCATATGGCTGCTGCCCATAAATGCAGGGCTGTGGTCTGGGAGCATCACAGCTGCTTCCCTCCCACGATCCGCCACCCCACCCTGGTTGTCTAGCTGGAACCTGGGTTCCTTTCTTCTGAAAACTGCTACAAGTTTGGCCCAGGCTGGCCACAAGGCAGGACCCTGGCAGGATGGTCTATACATTGCTGTCATACATGGCATTCATTAAAGTCCCATGGCCATTTGCATCTAGATGGATTAAAATTCCAAAATCCAACACCTCAGTCATACTAGACATTTTAGTAGCCTCCACATGTGGCCAGTGGCTACTGGACTAGAGAGCAGAGTCAGAGTTACCATCATGAAGAAACTTGTATCAGGCAGTGCTGCTCTGTCCGATTGTTAGGAATGTGGTTTCTGGGTCTCTATACAAAGCACAGAGCAGCACAGTGGCCACATCAATCAAAAGGACCGTGACCAACTTCAAAGTCGTTCAGCTTGTACCTATTTTTAGGCTCCCGCTGAACAAAACCAGATTCACACTGCAGCTCAGCAGGCATCGTCACGGGGGGTGAGAGGAGGACAATTTAGGTTATTTGGTTGGCCTCCCTCTCTTTCATGGAAGGGCTGCTCTGGCCTGGGACTGGAATACCCATTTCCTGGAGGGATGGCAGGGGGCCTCAGTGGAGCAACATGAGCCCTGGAACCTTCCTTGGCTTTTGCCTGCTGAGCTCCTGGCCTTGGTGGAGGGCGGGGGGAGGTGAGGCCATCTTGGGGGACACAGTGTAAAGGAAGGGGCTGAGGTTCTTGTGATTGGAGAAAGAGCTCCCAGGATCCTCATGACCTTGTAAAATGAAAGTAGGAACTCAGGGGTATTTCAGAGCTTGAGCTTTGATGCTCCTTCTAGCCACCTGACAGATGAGCTCAGAGACACAGAGCTATGGCAGAGTTTTAGACAATAATCAAAATAATTCTGTACTCAGGAAAACAATGAGTAGAGATGAGAAGGAAGAGAAAAGCCACCTTCTCACAGCAATGAAAACATTATCATTTTTAAGACATAGTTTATAAAGAATCAAATACATTGGTTAACTTTCCTGAAATGGATGGTGTATACTTTCTTGATGCATCTTGTCTGAGTGATTTGCTGTTCAGAGCAGGCAGGGGCTCTCCTAAACCATCCAGCCCATTACCGCTGGTAGAAAGGACCCTCCCCTAGCCCCTGTGATGACTTACAGTGGAACGGGCGAAGACAGGGTTTTCTGTGGCTTCCACGATCACTTGGTGGGCAGGACCCCCCATGCCCTGCTGTGCCTCATAGTGTTGAAGCTCTTCACTGATGCCGGACACTGTTGTCTGAGAACTGTACTCCGAGTCAGAGGAATCTGACCCATTGTTTGTGTGACCCGGGGGAACCGCAAACCGAACAACACTAGGGGGCGGCTCAGGGGAAGGAGTAGGTAGCTGGTTCAGGCCATTGGCTGGAGACACCTATTTAAGAAGATTCCAGATTAAAAGTTTTATTGTCTATTTTCCTGCTGGCCAATCTCAAGGTTCAGAGCAAGGTATTATTCAGGGGTCTCTGCCTGCTACCCCGGGACCTCACATATTATACTGTATTCTCCTCTCTTCTGTCTGCCACCAAAGTGGACTCTGAAGTCCTACAGCTAGAGCAAAAGAATGGCCTGTGCCTTTTCACACAGGAAGGTGAGATGTGCACCCCTCTGTGAAGCCCAGATATTCATCTAGAGCGGAAAACCTTCATTAATATAGATCGAAAAGACTCAGGCTGTCAATTAGTTGATTTGAAGCTGAACAAAGTCTACCACCCCCACCCCCAAAGCAACCAAATTGAAAAGGGCCATGCTTTTATTTCCTTAAAGAGTAAATAAAACTACTGGCAAATATGGAAATACCTAAGTATCTAAATTAATAGTGACACTAGGCAAAACAGCATTTAGTGGCCTGTGGATTAGACATTATGCCCAGAGTAATTACTGACCTCAGGATATGGTCCAAAGAAAGATAAAAGGACAGGAAGCAAAACCAGTCCATTGAGAACACCCAGGATTGTTAGGATTGCCAGGACAGCAAAGAAATACCTTGAAGATAAAAGGAAAACAGGAACCTTCAGAGTGACAAAAGAAAATTATACTACCCTCTGTCTACCCAAATATTGTAACATATCAACACCCAAACCCAACCCATTTGTAACAGTGGTTATAAATCCATAGTTCAAATTCAGCTATAAGACTGTTTTTGTTGTTGTTGTTAGCTTTTTTTGTACCTCAGGAGTTTGAGAATTATATTCCACAGCCCCATAGTGTTAGCTCATAAGGGAAGGAAAAAAAATTAGTTTGTTAATTTGCTAAAATCTCATGGCATGTAATGTTATTTATGAATGTGTTACACAAACACAAAAATATGGAATGTGAACTGAATGGCTGAGCAAACTGAAAGCACAAATACAATGCCGAGGGGCCCCGTTCATGAAAACCCAGCAGAAGCAAACAAATGAAGTGAAGGGTGTAGAATTTAAACAATTTGGCCCAGGAGGAAAAGCAGCCCACTTCTGCAGGCAGCTAATCCACTGTGAAATGCTTCTGCCTCTTACGGCAGAATCTCTAATTAAGTCTCTAGCATATCAGGTAAGGCTTTCCCTGGGCTTTCATTAATCACAACTTTCTGCCTAGAATTCTGTGAGTTCCAGTTTTACCAAATAGCTCCAATTGCAACCTTTTTTAGGACACAGGAACCAGCTTTCTGCAAAGAGAATGCTGCCCATTCTGTGGGAGCCGGGGCATTGTGCTGGGTGAGGGTGCTCCACAATGGCGGGGCTGCTCTGCGGGCCAAGCTTTTGTTGAACAATTTAGCATCTCTGAATACTCTTGTTTTGCGTCAGCCAATTCAAACATAAAGGCTGCAGCACCATGGTAGAAGAGGAAAGTGAACAAGTAGTTCTGCTTTCCCACCATTGAGGGCTAAGGTCTGGGATCCTTCACGAATACCAAGGTAAACCTGTCAGCCAGGGACAGCCTCTGGCGGACACTCTGCACAGCGGGAGGGCTCACACTCCACGCAAGGATGCCTTTCTGGAACTAATGATTTCTAGGGCTTTGATGGAAGTGGGCTGGGGTGGGGGAAGTGAGGCTCAGGATGTTCTGGAAAGAGGGAGGGCAAGATATCTATCTGTTAATGGTCTGCTGGATCATGAAACAGACCAGGCAACCAATGTTGCCATGTCTATATATGTTTCAACATTAGATGAAAGGGGAGAGAATCCCTATAAAAATACAAATACCTCACAGCTATTGTAAACACTAGAAACTTTTGAGCTGCATTAGTTCAGAAAAAAAAAAAGACAAAACCTCAACACCAAGCAGTCAATGTCTTGCTTTAATGTAAACTGCTAGAACTTTCAGTAGAGGCATATATCAGCAGCAGGCATTAAGACATTTGCATCCCATCCATCTAACTGTAGCATAAACAGACCAATTAGATTTCTGACGGCTTTGTGTATACAATGTCTGCTCATTTATTCGAGCTCAGTTTTAGAAAATGAGAAGCCCTTTCTAAGTGCTTGAAACAGGAATCCTGATATCTCTGTGAGGAAACCAGCAGTCTGAACAGAATAAGAGACCTGGGATTCTGCTCTCCAGGCTCTCAGCTGGGTGCTCTAAGTCAGGCCATGTTTTCTTCCTATGGCTCACTCAATATCCCTTGTGAGGTTGACCCACATGAGTTCAGCACACACTCTGTCTCTACTGTTTTGAATTACCTGGGGAACTATCTCTTCCCACTATAGGCCATAAGCCATATAGAAAGGGACAGAGCCCAGGTTTCTTGCTGTTGGACAATATGACACTTGTGAGGTTGGCATTACGTATGTGCTCAATGTGAAAGTAGTTATGCAAAAAAAAAAAAAAAAAGACTATCTGGCATTGGGCTTTTAAAGCATAGAGAGAATACAAATATCTAAGTAACAGTGTATCAAGGAAATGAAAGTCTAAGTCAAATCAATAGCTTTAAACAAGCCAAAACCTTTATCTAACTTAGGCCAACTACCTCAGTATTTGGGCAAATAAGAACTTACACATTGGCCAGTTGACTTATCAACAGACTAGGTTGAGAAGTCTTGCATTCATGGGCCTCATCTGGAAGCTGAGTGGTAAGGCAGGTACTCCTCTCAACCTCCAATGCCATCTGCATGTAAAGAGCCCTAGTGGATTCAGACATACAACATAGACCATGTCCTGGTCCCCAATGAAAGAGTGTTTCTATCTCTTGATTCATTCTAGTCCAAACCACAGGGAGTAAACTAGAAGATTCATTTCAGGAAGGGCGAATCTCTAGGATGCTTGACTGACCAATGGACTATGCTAATAGACTGATGCAAGACTCTTCCTTTCTTTTCCCTGTTTTTAATCAAGGGCCTCACCCATGCTCAGCAAGCACTCTATTACCCTGTAAGAAGCCAACTTGAGCTAAAACTTCTAATTAAAAGGATTTTCTTTTCATCTGAAAACAAGTGGCTTCGGTTTCTCACACACACAAACATACATGTGCACAGGACAAGGCGAACTAGATTAACTGTCCAGATTAAAGTGCCCACACAAACTATCTATTTGTCAGGGTTCTACCTTCCCACAGTTCTAGTTCTGCACTGTATTTTTACTGAGGGATGACTTTACCTCTTCACAAGTAGTAGTATTTTATTCAAGAGTAGCTACCTCCCAAAGCTGTGAAGGCTGTTGAGAGAACATGGTTTCTTTCTCTGCAGGTATCCAACAATTTACTAAAGGAAAACTCACTTTCCTTCTATAAATAAGAAAGGCATGCTTCTTACTTAAATAAATCAACAAGAAATAGTCTGTCTTGAAGTCAACTTAGAAGTACTCAAACTAGGCTGGGATTTCCAATCTGGGCATGTTATCTTAACTTTTTAAGAGAATTGTGAAGATCATTTTAGGCATTTATAAGTTTTCCTTTCTAGTTTTGAAGATGATGACACAAAGCTCCAATGAGGTCATTTATGGGAACCATGTCATCTTTCTGTAGACTTTTCTACCCTGGGACCTTAACAGGTAAGATACTGGGTGACTAACTGGGACAATGGTGATACTTTGTGCTTTGTGCTGAAAAGTCACCTTTGGTGCTAAGTTCTACCCCTTCACCTCTACCTAAGGTCTTCCTATGATGGCTCTGGAACATAGCTTGTACATTTTGTACCTCTTAGCATAAAAGAAAGTTGAGTTACAGTGAAGAGATGCTGCCATCTACCAGATATAGGAGGAAATAAGCAACAACAAAAAATATGAAGAAATTTTTTAAAACAAATCATCTGTCTTGCTCTTACTTACCTGACAATGAAATCAAACTCAGACCCTGCAAGCATCAGTACTCCAAGCAGAGTGGACACGGCACCATCCAAGACAGGGGCGAACATGTGTTCCAGGGCAAGCACAGCCCTGCGATTCTTGTCACCAATGGCTGTCAGAAAGGCCTGTGTAAGGAAAAGGGGTCAGGTGATGAGTCTTGAACCGGACATGGTATAGCCTCAACTTTGCCTTAAGATTTTCCCCATCTTTCCTGAACATACTTCTCAGATTTTACTGTTAATCAGAGGAGCTAGATGAGGCTTAAACATGTTTGTGATATTGGGTCATAGTCTATGTTGAGGTGAATCTTCAGCAAAACCTAGACTATACAAATTGGACACAAATATTTCCTTTCATTCCTAATCACACTCAAAAATCTCACACCACTCACAGAGAAGACTGATAGTTGTGAAAGACAAAATATTATGGCTAATGTTTTAGTTGGACAAGATCTTGTGTTCAACTTGGTCTGGTGGGCAGTGGGTGCTGAATACGCATTTCCCCTTGATTTCATTGAGGTGAGAATTTCTGTCACCGCTTCAAACAAATGTATTTGTGGTATACCTGAGCACCAGGCTGAGTGAGTGTGTGTGTGTGTTCCTAACCATACAGAGTGAGTGTGTGTGTGTGTGTGTGTGTTCCTAACCATACAGAACATCCTGAGCATCCATTATTTTCTCTTCTAAAACTCTGTTCTCAGACTTGAGACATAAGTTGTTACTAAAATGCTTTGTATCATAGTTGAACTGGGTGCCATTGTTTTCTTATCCCATGGCTCACAACTGATGCTTACTGAAATGCAGCAACCTAACAGGAATCTGCCTACTTCTTTGGGGCCTGAACTCTGGGCCTGGATACTTGAGCCACAGTGCCATTTCTGGCTTTTTCTGCTTAGGTGGTATTCAGTTAGCGAACCCAGGTCCTCATGCATTCAAGGCAAGCACTCTACCACTGAGCCATCTTCCCAGCCCCTTCTGCCTACTTCTTAAGGAATTTTAGGAATACATATTTTCTTTTTAAGGTTGTTGTTATAATTACTATTTTGTTGGTTGTGGGGGCTTGAACTCAGGGCCTGTCCCTGAGCAATTTTGCTCAAGGCTACTACTTTATCACTTTGAGCCATAGCTCTACTTCTGGTTTTCTTTTTTTGGGGGGGTCCGGTCGTGGGGCCTGAACTCTGGGCCTGGGCACTGTCCCTCAGCTCTTCAGCTCAAGGCTAGTGCTGTACCACTTGAGCCACAGCGCCACT